AGGGCAGTTTATCAGATGGCAGTTTGCCCATTTAATATTCTGAAATAGTAAATATTCTGAAAGTCTACATTTCACCCTTTTTAAGAAATTAGGTTCTGGGGAGCAAATAAGTACAAGATATGGCCTAAGAGCTATTATAGACATTTGATTCAGAAAGCAAGTGAGGGATTTTTGAAATATTTTCTGTACCATTTTTTTGAAAAAGATGTTCAATTGAACTTGACGCCAATGCCAAAAGAAATTAAATAGAGCAATACCAGTACTATACATCTAACTATCCATTCAATGCTAGTTTTAGAAAACTGAGACTAGATGGCAATTATCACTGCTCTTACCCTTTACTTATAAGAGTGCTCACTGCTCTTATTAACATAATTTCCTACAGTATGAACTGGAATCCAGCTAGGTATAGTTGTTACAAAGGATCAGCAAGCAAATGGCTGATTGAAAATTCTTTCAATGGTCATGCTTAAATAATCTTAAATTCCAACTACATTATTTGAGACAGATCATGTTTTTACACTCAGTCACTATTTTCATCAGCATATTTGTATTCTATCATGCAATATTCAAAGTCCTGGCATTGTAATAATATCCTCTCCATCACCAAGACTACTTGCATCCACCTCTATCATATTGCCAATCTCCACCACTGCCTCAGCTTGGCTGCTGCTGAAATCCTCATCCATTCCTTTGATATCTCTAGACTAAACTATTCCAATGCTCTCCTAGCCAGCTTCTAACCTTGCACACTTTGTAAACTGGAGCCCATCCAGACCTCTGCTGCCATTAAGCATCTGGTTGCTGATCTAAACTAGTGTCTGGTCCAGAAATGTCTTGATATTAACATTTTCATCCTTGTTCTCAAATATCCTTTATTGACTGTCTTCTCCCCTCCTTATCTATGTAATTCCATCCAGTTGGAAACTCCTGCAGATGTTCCCCTGACTTTGTCAAATTCTTTTCAAAGCATGTCTAAGGGTCTTGGGCCATTTCAGCCACATTAAAAGTGTTAGATAAATTCACATTACCAATACATCTATGAATTTTAAGTACATTATTATTGATGAACAGCAGTAACTTTTCAAAGATAGTAGGAACTGCAGATGCTGGAGAATCCGAGACAACAAGGTGCAGGGCTGGATGAACACAGCAGGCCAAGCAGCATCATAGGAGGAGAAAGGCTGACGTTTTGGGCCTAGACCCTTCATCAGAAAAGGGGGCGGGGAAGGGCGTTCTGAAATAAATAGGGAGAGAGTGGGAGGCGGATGCAGAGGCCCTAAACCCCACCTCTTCCTCCGTTACATCGATGACTGTATCGGCGCCGCCTCGTGCTCCCACGAAGAGCTCGAACAGTTCATCCACTTCACTAACACCTTCCACCCCAACCTTAAGTTTACCTGGACCATCTCTAACACCTCTCTCCCCTTCCTGGACCTCTCTGTCTCCATATCGGGCAACCACCTAGAAACCGATATTCATTTCAAGCCCACCGACTCCCACAGCTACCTAGAATACTCCTCCTCCCACCCACCTTCCTGCAAAAATGCTATCCCCTATTCCCAATTCCTTCGCCTCCGCCGCATCTGCTCCCAGGATGAGGCATTCCACTCCCGTACATCTCAGTTGTCCTCGTTTTTCAAGGACCGTAACTTCCCCTCCTCGGTGGTCGAGAACGCCCTCAACCGTGTCTCCCACATCTCCCGCACCTCATCCCTCACACCCCGTCCACGCAATAAAAACCAAAAAAGAATCCCCCTCGTCCTCACGTACCACCCCACCAACCTCCGGATCCAACGCATCATCCTCCGACACTTCCGCCATCTGCAATCCGACCCCACCACCAAAGACACTTTCCCTCCCCACCCTTATCTGCTTTCCGGAGGGACCACTCTCTCCGTGACTCCCTTGTCCGCTCCACACTCCCCTCCAGCTCCACCACACCCGGCACTTTTCCCTGCAACCGCAGGAAGTGCTACACCTGCCCCCATACCTCCTCCCTCACCCCCATCCCAGGCCCCAAGAAGACTTTCCACATCAAGCAGATGTTCACCTGCACATCTGCCAATGTGGTATACTGCATCCGCTTGGTTTCCCCGATGTAGAGGA